ACGAATTTACGATTAATCCCAAATTAAATTTTGTTTACAAAAAATTATAGAATATCGGCTAAAACTTCGGAATAACCCTTCATGGACGGTTTCACAGATTTAGCCAGTATTCCGAGTTTTTTCGTTAATTGATCAAAATTTTGGGACTTTTTCGTTAATTGATCAATTACCCTTAAACTTATGCGAATTTCACTCATCGGCATCTCAAACTATTACTCATTTCTGTTTTTCACTTTTTATTATCCACCTCTCCAAGTTGTACTCTTTCAACTTATTTAGTGTTTTAATCTAGCACGAAACAACATACTTTTAAGGTCTATACTCTAAACCAATCAACCTGACATAAAAATAAATTGATTGACATGAAAATAAACGGGTTGAATCATGCACTTCAACACGCTCATGTTAAATTCGTACCTCAATTTGCCAAGGACAATAGTAACATTTTGGTAGCAGGTAATCTTGCCTTCGATAGACTACAAAACACATATTCGTTTGAACTTTGATACCCTTATTTCACACATGCACACACACATTCCATATCAGAAACTTTTATGCTTGTGTGCGCACATAAAAAGGAAAGACGGAGATCTATCTGAGGGATGTATGTATGTATCCCTTATCGCATCCTTCCCAATTTTGCAATAGATAGAAAGAAAACAGAAGGAGAAAGAGGGCAGATGGATTCAGGTTTTAAACAACCAATAGAATGAAGAAGAAAATGAGTATTAACGAGAAAGGTTATCCCATAGATTTAAGCATACATGATTAGTAATATTATGTATGTTTGGTGGTTATGTAGCATCCCAAAATTCAAGGCCAAAAATTTCATTTTTAATATAACTAAAAACACTATTATAACTTTGTTCACACATTGAAAAGCTTTTCAAATAAAACATTTATCAGAGTTCATTCCCAGAAATCACATATTGCAGAAAACACGAGTGTATACGTTACGATCACCCCGAGCTGCTTTACTTGAAACTGGAGGTACCTGAAACCAAAAGTGAAAAACTGTAAGCACGAACCTTAGTGAGTTCCCAAAATACCATATACCATACATATCAACTGATCCATGCATGCAATACATAACCATGAGCAATACATATCATTTATATATCATAATCAAATAAGGTGCTATGTGTCACACATAGTATTGCCATTATGCCACAGGCCGCCACATGGTCTTTCTTACCAAGTTAGGGGTCATCTCTTGAATCTTGCAGACAAGTGCCAAGAGCCACCTCCTGGTCTTCCATGCAAGCATCACAAAGACAACTAGCATATATACTACTCTACTTAGCCAATTAGCATACAGTGTGTCAGGAGCCACCTCCTGGTCTTTCATACATAGTGCCTAAGGCTAACCCCTGGGTCTTTCCACAATACATAAACCAAATGGGTCGGTATTGGTGCCTTCGACTTGTACAAATAGTGAGGAGACTCACCTCAAATGTTGAAGCTCACTGCAAAAAAACTTAGTTGTTGCTCTAACAACTCCCTGAGCTATCAATACCAAAATATCACCCAATTAGTACCACCTCCTGGTCTTTCATGCAAGCATCACAAAGACAACTAGCATATATACTACTCTACTTAGCTAATTAGCATACAGTCTGCCAAGAGCCACCTCCTGATCTTTCATACATAGTGCCAAGGGCTAACCCTTGGGTCTTCCCACAATACATAAACCAAATGGGTCGGTATTGGTGACTTCAACTCGTACAAATAGTGAGGAGACTCACCTCAAATGTTGAAGCTCACTGCAAAAATCCTTAGTTGTTGCTCTAACAACTCCTTGAGCTATCAATACCAAAATATCACCCAATTAGCAATTGGGTCTCAACCATGATCCATAATCCTCACTTGGGGTGAAATAACTATTTCACCCCCAACCCATCAAGGCCCAAACTATAAAATCCATGAAAGCCCATCAATGGTCTAATTTTCCAAAATAGGCCCAAACCCTTACATGCAACTACCCTTTAGAACCCATTATGTACTTCATAACCCTCCAGGGGTCAACCTTGGCCAATAGTCAGGTCTAGGTCAAAGTCAACATCCAAGTCGTGGTCAAAGTCAACGCTCCAGGTTAACTCAACTCATCGGGTTGTCCTTCAACTCGGCGAGTTCCCATAAACCACAAAATTGTGATGCAACGAATCAACTCGTCGAGATGTTTCCTTTTTAACAAAATCGGGACACTTCAAATTAACTCGTCGAGTTCCTCTGATGAACTCATCTTTAGCTTGTTAACCCCTTCTTAATGCATTAAGCCTTTATTCTTCAAATTTGAACCCAATACTCTAGATGTAGACTGGAAATACCTTTTAGAAGGGTAAACTTTCCAACTTTACCCATTAATTCCTTCCTAAAGAGAATAAGCTCAAACCCTAACTCCAAAAGCTTAAATCTAAATCCAAGGGTCCTAAAAACTTCAAGATAGGGCATAAGAACATAGATATGGACCTTTGATACTAGAAGGATACCGAAAGTCTTAAACTTTATGCAAATGCATGACCATATGGAGCTTGAAAGGCAAAAACAAGAACTTAAAGGTTGCATGGGGCTTCTAGGGCCACAAAGTTGGCACCTTTATGCCATGAGATCCCCTCAAAGCCCTAGTCCCTAGATCTGAAGTGTTTTCCATAAGGGACGTCCAACCCATCAATAACCATCTCACTTGGACAAAACAAGTCAAAGAACCCTAAAATGGAGATCTAGATGACTACAAGACAAGGTTTAAGCTTTATACCAAAAATGTGTCGTGGACGAGGCAAGGATTCTGGATCTTTATGCTCATTCTTGTGTCTCCAAGTTCTTCCTTCTTCCAATAGCTCCAACACTCACCAAGAACACTCAAAATGACTTACAGACTCTCAAAATAGCTTTAGGGTTTCGAGATTTAGGGTAAGGGACTTGGAGGCTGGAAATAGCTCCAACACTCACCAAGTTCTTCCTTCTTCCAATAGCTCCAACACTCACTGAGTTGGTCTTCCAAAACGTGCGCCCCAACTTTCAAACAAGTCGAGTTTACGCCTTAAACTCAACGAGTTGATCTTTAGAAATAAGGTTTTATTTCCATAATTAACCTTCTCAGTTTCGGGTGTTACAAGTTATCTCAATACTTAAACCAATGTTGAAATCAAAAGAAAATATACAATATTTTGTATGAAATTTCATCTTGTAATCATGGAGCACTCTATCTTCGATAAGGCTTTTCAGACAAATTTTTGAAGTTTGTTAGTTTTTTGGATTGTAGAAATAGTTTTTTTTTATAAATTTTGTGATTTTAAAATTGAATATATAACGTTATATAAAAAGAAATGGAAAAAATACACTCATTTAAAAAAAAAAAAAACAAACAAACCATTTTTAATATATATAAAACGGTTATTCTGAAGTTTTAGTTGGATTAACGAAACAATCTCAATATTTTGACGAATTAACTGAAAAAACCGAAATATCGGCTAAATCTGCAAAACCGGCCACAGAGGGTTATTCTGAAGTTTTAGTTGGTATTCTATCCCTTTTTTTCTTAAACAAAATTTAATTTGGGATTGAACTGTAAACTAACCTAAAATATTATGATTTTATTGGAGATTTCCTGAAACAAAAATATTAATTAGTGTGATCCCTACCCCCACACCCTTTATCATCTTTTCTCAACACCCCTCTTTCCATCTCTCCTCTTTCTATCTATTGCACAAACCTACCATGGTCAAAGCAACCACCGATCACCATCGCTCATACTCTCCGCAACATCTTTAACGAGCAAACCACCACTGTGCGAACCCTACATTAGCCACAATCCTCTTTTTCTTCCTTGTATCACTCAAACCTTACTTTAATTTATGGAATTTGGTTTAGGGGTTGTAGTTCATTGTAGCCAATTTTGAGGATTGAAGGTCATAAGAATACTCGTCGGAGCTTGAATAAGAAAGTTGCCCCCCCCCCCCCCCCCCCCTTCTTCGATGTTGCACCTCCATCACACCAACCAAAATAGCACCTCCATTGTTACACCACCACCGGTGCTTCTGTTTTCTTCCGGCGGCAACGATGCCATGATGAAATCTGACTCTGTTTCTTTAGGGTCCTGTTACAAATGATTTTATAAAAAAAACCTTTTTGAATATTAGAATAGATTCAAGAATTTGTTTTGAACTTTAGAGAATCAATGGGTCTTTTAGGTTTGCTTTGTTTCAAAATTTGGTTTATGTTCTTGACAACTTCAATTTTTGTGGGTGTGAGCAGGTTTAACTTCTAGGTTTGAGCATAATGATTTCATTATTTAAGGGCAATGATTTACATGTTTAATTCATAAAATACAGGAGTTGCGGTGTTGGTGGTCGATGGAACTGGTGGTCAGGATGTTTGATGTCGGATATAGTGGTGGTGTCTGATGGGGCTGTAGCACTACTATAGAGGTGGTGAGGTGGAAGTAACCCAAAATCAAAACAAACCAAAACTAAGGGGCTGTTTGTTTTTTTTGTAAAGAGCTGCGCAACCACTTTTGTCTGCGCCGCGCAGACATATGCCTTCGCAGAGTGTTTGTTTTTTGGAAGTGCGCAGACCAAAAAACGTCTGCGCGAGGTTTTCCTAGCGCAGACATGAGTCACTGTCTTCAAAGGTCTTCAGACCTCATTTTAACCAAAAAAAAAAAAAGACCATCTGTTTTTTTTTTTCTTTCTCTTTTTGCTGAAAATGCATTTTTAATCGTTATGACATGAAATTAAGTTTGAAAAATTAATTTATTTCAATAGATGCAGACGTTAAAAACAAACAGTCTTCTTATTGCAGACTGCAGACATTTGGTTCACCTCTTCTGCCGCAGAGGCTTGCAGATGTGGTCCGCAGACTGCAGACATTTTGGCTTCAAAAAAACAAACAGCACCTAAATCTTGAAATCCAAACCCAAAATCAAGCTTGATGAACGGTAACCTCGTCAATTTCTTCTATGTGATTGTGATAAGAGTGATAATGGAACACATGTGGTCTTTTTATCTATACACTCAACAAAAAAACACAACAAAAACAAACTGTAGGGATTATAGTAGTGCAAAAAAAATATGGACTAAACGTGAAATTTTTTCAAACAACATGGACGATTTCAGTAATTTGTTCAATTGGTAATGAGAGTGTCAACTGTTAGTTCTTATCAGCATATAAATCAGTCCATCTTGAAATTAAACCATATCATAACATCAAGATCAAAAAAATGCATCGAATAATCAAGTAAACAAGTCATCTCATATATCATTAATGGAGACAAGTTCCATTTCCCTTCTTTTTTTTTTTTATATAATTCTTCTATTTTTACGACTACAACCATTAAAAATGCAGTGTATCTTGATTCAACTCTAAATTTTGTAAATTAGACCCCTCCTAAAAACATTACTTGCTGTAAAGGTACACAAAACTGAAGATGAAGAATGCAGCCATCTGCAACACCCAAAGATAAATGTTAAAAATTAAAAATTAAAAATCTCAGAGAAAATAAAATATTAAATATTAAAAATTAATAAAAATACCGTAGAGAATGATGCTCCATAATATGGAAAAGCCGTTGGAATGAATCTCTCATATTCATTGTGTCTGAAAGGTCGAACTGGAATCTGCAAAATAATAATAATAAATGTTTCTTTCTTTTTATTTATACTGTGAAATTTGTTTTTTGAAATGTAGGGGTAAAATTGTAATTTAAACATTACCTGTTTTGCAAGAGACAAACTAGTGTATCCAAGTCTTTGATATTCAACCTTAAACTGGAAAACACCATACACATCTGGCACCTTAAAGGATGCAATATACAATCCCTGCAAATATATAAAAAGAAACAGAAATTTAAATTAAATAAAAAAGCTAAAAACTTTTAAAATAAATAAATAAATAAATTTTACCTTGTTATTAGAGGACATGGTTTTCAATACGTAAGGGCTCATCATGTAAAACTGGACCTGAACATCATTTGCCACATATGGTTCCCAACTTGATCCAGACCACTCATAAATCTCTACCAAATATTCCTGAACATAAATTTTAATTAATTATTATTTTAGTTAAACGAAATTAATTGAATTTAATATAACTAAAAAATTTCATGGAATCAGTTGGCTGGAAATGGAATAGAAGTAAAGAACAAAACTCATCTCCATTTTTTGTATAATTTTTTTTTTTTTTTGTATAAATATGATCTTATATAACAAACAAAACGTAAAAGAAACAAAATTTTGAAAAAAGATGTAGAAAACTAAATTTAGGATGATTTCGTAACAAAATTTTGAAATACAGGCCAAAAATGTAATCTTTGGACCAAATTTGTAATAAAATTTAAAATCTGAGCCAAAAGTGTAAATTTTGAAAGTGAGATGACTTGTTTACCGGGTAAAAGGGTCAAAATGAATTTTGGAGTTAATTGAATAAAAAACATACAAGGACTAAATCGATTATTATTTATTAAGCTAAAATATAAGGACTTTTATGGAGTTTTCCCTTTTGCAAATAAAGAATATGAAATTCATTTACAGAATCTATTTCATTTACTTACGACCATTTATATAACAAGATTTAATTAAAAAAAATCAACTTATTTATAAATAAATAAGTCTAAATTAGCATCTATAAAATTAAAAAGATTACCAGGTCATCATTGATCCTATAGATAGAAGGTTCATCAGTCTCACCAACTCTGTGGTGTCTAACATTCACAGCCTGTTCACATTCAAAAATATATATATATATATATATATATATATATATATATATATATATATATATATATATATATATATATATATATATATATATAAAATAAAACATTGAAAAAAAAAAGAACAGGAAATATAAAAATATTGAAAACTAGTATTTGATATTTTACCTTCAAATGACCTCTTTCATGGAATACCCATTTGCTAATCTCAGTAGCAAACTGTTGATTACCAGATTTTGCATATCTGTTACAAATTTTACATTTTTCCATTAGATTAAAGATGGAAGAATATTGGTATTTAAAAAAAATAATTATATTATTATTACTGTAAGAAAAATAGGAAATGCACTCACTTATTTGAGCTTCCTGCTTTTTGCACTGGTGATTTAAAGAATCTGTATAACATAACACCCAGTTTAATTTTAAGTAAAACATATAAAATGGTTAAAAAGTTTGAACACAAAACTGTGAAATATTGCATACTTGTTGCTGAAGAGATCTAAAGATCCAGAGAACACAATTCTTGCATTGTTTCTTGCCTTCAATATCAAAAGAAAGATTATTAGAAGGTTTCTTTATACTTTAAAAAAAAATAACGTAAAAAAAAAAAAAGGGGGGGGTACCTGAACAACTGAAACCAATGAGATGGAAGATCCAGAAAGGGATGGTGGACTTGACAGCTTGGACTTTGGGTTAGCTGAATAAGCTGATGGAGAAGCTGAAAGAACTTTCAAAACCTGTAAAATGAGTCCAAGGGTAAAAGGGTCATATTCATATACATCCCTGATTCACAAGCAATTTAACATATGATGAATCTTGAACTTACCAAGCTATTTGCTGGGTTCAAAGAGTGACCAATTCCTTTGAAAAGTACAGGAGCCTGTGTCATGCAACAAAGAATGAAAGAATTTAACTTTATTACACAGAAAACATGTGGTTTGTTTTGAATTTGAAGGGTGAAAATTACTTATTTGACACTTAGAAGTGAACTAGTGAAGTAACTCTTTTATTGGGATACAGATACTTTTTATATTTCAAAATGAGTGGGTTTTATTTGTCTGGTATTTCAAGGGTTATATTGCATATTTCATTTCTTTCTGTGATAGAATCAATGAATAAATACAGTAATCACTGAACAAAGTATTTGAATACACTAACTGACCTCAATTTTTGTACTCCCTAAAAGTACATCAGATTGAATAAAATCAGCAGCAGCAATTAACGTATGATCTCCCTCGGTTTCTGAAACAGCATAGCTTCCATGATCAATAACCACAGCAGATTGATCCTGTGAAAAACATCACATTGGTCAAAACATGCAAATGAACAAGTTAATATCTATAACCAATGTTAGTTTCAATCTTATGACCAAAAAGCTTGTCGTCTTTAAGAGTGATATAGAAACAAATTTGGTTTCATGCTCATAATACAAACTCCATTGGTGTAGCATCTTCACAGTTTTACAAGTTGCATATTATTGACTTAAGAGTGGACTAAATCAGATCAATAGTTAGTCCCAAAATGATCTGTTTCACAGTTTAACGAGTGTAAAATGACTACCTCGTCAAAATCAATTCCACACTCAGCGGCTATATTTCGGATCAAATCAGACGCATTCGCATCGGCAGCAACGATCAAGTCTTTGCCGGAGTCGACGAAGTCCAAAATAGCCGCCACATCCAAAGATCCTCCAAATCCTGGAACAATTCAAAGCTATCATTTCACCAAATTCACCAATGAAATACAAATTTAGCAATAAACTTGAGAAATTACGTTCAGTGGTGGGAGAAAACAGAATCAGGCCATCATATAAATGTTGCCCGTATCTCTGAAGAGCGATCTTGGGATCATCGGAGAGCTTGAAATCGAGCTCAAATCCACGTGCCTGCAGAGAATTAAAGAAGATCGAGTGCGAAGACTTGAGAGCCAAGTCGTCGACCAACACTAAAATGCGCCGATCCGTAGGGTTCTCGAGAGAAAATGAGTGGGTGAGCGCAAGTAACAGTGAGATCGAGGCAACGAAGACGGTGGCGATGGAGAAATTCGCCATATTATCTTCCTTTGGTTTTAGGGTTCTTGAGGTTTGGATCCTCTCACCTCACTGTGTAGTGTTGGGAATTTAAGCATTGACTCGTTAAGCAGCACAATTTGAATAAACGGTCCCTCTAGTTACACTTATTTACATTTTAGAATAAACTACAAAAATGATCCTAAAATGGTCTTTTAGTTGGTGTTTTCCTACTTTATGTTACAAAGTTCTCATGAAGGAGGCGTATAGCCTTCACGAATTATAATATAACCAAACATTACAACTTGGGCCAAGTAACAAATATAATGGGCTAAATACATAAAGGACTATATGTTAGCATTTCAGGGTCGAGGTACGAGTACCCATGTTCCGTTGGTAGTAAGCACATTAAATTCATCTTTCAATGCATTTAGCCAATTAGGATCACGAAAAAGCTTCGTTATAGGATCGTAGAATGGGAGAAGATGGAGATATAGACTCGATATCCAAGTTAAGTTTGCGAACCGGTTTAAAGATACCGTGAGACGCCCAAGTAGTCATCGCATAAGTTCGGACAGGAGCTGATGGAGGTGCACGTGGTGCTTGTGTGGCAGCCGAAGTGCTAGAGGGAGGTGGAGTGAGCGGCTGAGTGGGTGTGGCTAGGGGTGTCAAAAAAAACCCGAACCCAATTAACCCGACCCGACCCTAACCCGAATAAGGTAATTAGGGTCGAGTTCAATAGGGTTAGAATTCCAAATCGGGTTATTCGGGTTAACCCGACAAACCCGATTTGTAGTTAGGGTCGGGTTTAGGGTTGATTTTTACAAAAAAAAACGGGTTTCGGGTCAACCCGAATAACCCGGTTAGGAATTCACAACCTTTACATATTCCACTGCTCTCTACTTGAACTATACAAAAAGACTACAAATCCTTTGAAAATGTAAATTTTTGTGACTCTAGAAGCATACGAGGGTCAAGTAACTCCCATTTGTGAAGTTGAAGTCCAAAAAGATATAAAACCTCCACATCTCAAAATTACTGGAGTGGCTAAGAAGGTAAAGATTGTATTTTTATAGTTATTTCTACTTTAAACTAACTATAAACATGAATAAACTACATGGTGTTGATCTTTAACAAGAGATTGAAAGCTCATCTATTTAATATTTATAATGGAAGAACTCTTTTAGCTATTGTAGTATGCATGTTTTCTCGTATGTTGTAATAACCATGAGGTCCATGATCTTTTATTTTTAATTTGTTTCAATTTGTATGCATTCTTGATGTTAAGAAAAGAGTAAAAAAATGGTTTGGATTTATATCAGATTGCACGCTTGAAAAAACCATATATATTATGTTTAAATTAAGTGTGTAGTGTATTAACCCGACTAACCCGACCCTATTAACCCGAAACTCGATTAACCCGAACCCGACCAACCCATACCTTAATAGGGTCGGGTGTCGGGTTAAATTATTTTTTGTGAAAACCTGACTAACCCGACCCGTTTAACCCGAAACCCGATCGGGTTGACCCGATTAACAGCCCTAGGTGTCGCACCATAAGAAGGAGTTGTCGCGACAAAATTCAAAACTGGATTGGAAGGATGAGTAGTTTGAGTGATGAGAGGGCGAGAGGGAGTGGTTGGGTTATTAAACATGCTGTGGGAATCATCATAGATCCAAAGGGGAACACAATTTCATCAAATGTGACATGGTGAGAGATGATGATCTTTTTAGTGTGAAGACAGAGACATCGGAAACCTTTGTGATGAGATGGATATCCAAGAAAGACACACGGAACGAAGCAAAGTTGAAGTTTATGAGAGGGTTGAGATGAGAATAACAAAGACAACTGAAGATACAATATATGAATATAATGGTTGTTTATTGAAGAGTTTGTGAAATGGGGTGTCGTGTTTGAGAGCGGAAGACAGAATTATGTTCAAAAGATGGGTGCCATATGGAGTGCTTCCACCCAACAAGCGGGTGGAAGATGACCTTGAAACAATAAGGTACGAAACATATTGTTTAGAGTACGAAGCATGCGTTCAGAATTATTGTTTTGTTGGGATGTGTAGGGATATGAGAAACGCACGTGAATATCGTGTCTATCATATAATTGATGAAAGTGGGAGTTGTCATACTCCTTGTCATTATCACATTGAAAATTTTGTATGTCCATCTTAAATTGATTTTGAACATAAGCACGAAAGTGAAGAAACTTAGAAAAGACTTCGGATTTCTTTCAAAGAGGATAAACCCAAACAAAATGAGTAAATTGATCAAGAAAAAATCACATAATATTTGTGACAACCTAAACCTTTTCCCGTCAAACGTTAGTCAAATTCCGTTAAATAAAATTTTGAGTTTTATTTGTTTCCTTAAAATCTTATGGTTTGGAAAATCATTTAATTTATATATTTAAATTTTATATAAGAGTCGGAACCAAAATCGCGCGAAAACCCGAGTTTTTCTCGAAAATCAGCCAAATCTCGTTCGTCTCGGTGTTCACGGTCGTGAACCCGATTACAGTTGTAATCTGTTCACAGCCGGGCACCTACCTCTAGCTGTCACACCCCCGAACCAGATGGCGGAATCATCCGGGGGTTCGTGTGACTTAAATTGAAATATCATCACAATGAATATACATGAAACAAACACATACATCACCAACATTACATAGTACAAGTGTCTTTGTTCACATCAAGTACATTGTTTAAATATTACATATCCATAGTATAAATGGTTTGATGACTGATATCTCACAAAAGAAATTCCGAAAACACACTTGATGATTCTTCATTCTAACGGTTACCTGAGAATACAAGTTATTTTGAAAACGGTCAACATATATAATGTTGGTGAGTTCATAAGCATGTTTGATATAAAAATAGTTTGTATCGTTTGTAAAACCCAGAAAATCCGATATTTTCTGAAACGACAATTGTTTGCAAAATAGGTGTGATGATCCATAAGTATATGCATGAATGATTTCAACCTGATTTATGTTTACTTGAACCAAAAGGTAAGCCTAACAGACAAAGAGAAGAGGGCAACAGAGGCCCACTAATCATGTATGTTATTATAGGCTGTTGAGTATGCGACAGACGCGTTAGCCTCTCACGCATATGATTGATTTGGACCTTACTAGCAATGCAAATGGGCCACTAAGGCCCAATAGCATGTAAAAGTCATTGAGGGTCCATTTGGGTCTGTAATTGGGTCACCGGAGGCCTAATAAACATGTGTGATTATATTGGGCTCAATAATCATTATATTGGGCCACAAAGACCCAATAGCACGAACAAACGATTTTGGGCCCAATCATTGAATCATTTATGGTTTGTTGAGTTTAAGTCCATAGTGTTGATATTTGTTGTATGATAAATGTTTATTCGCAATGTTAAAACAAAAATGTCTTAATGTTTGATTTATAACAAAGCTTTAGTTATATATATATATATATATATATATATATATATATATATATATATATATATATATATATATATATATATATATATACATATATATATATATAACCACGCGTTATAAGCTTGATATTTTTATCCAAAAAATTTATAATTGTTTATTTGGTCCAAAAACATTTAGTTTGACCATTGCAGCCCCTTTTTCTATAAAAATGACACTTTTTGTCCCTTTTTATGAAAATTGACATTTTTTGTCCTTAAACCATTTTTCTTGACATTTTTGACGCAAACTTTATTCAAATGATAATTTTAACCCAAAACTATTGTATTTCTCATTTCCAGCATTTAATTGTAAAAAGTCTACATTTTGAGCCCAATTTCCGTAAGTTTTACAATTTTGACCCTAAAATCAAAAACTTTGCATTGTTAGTCCAAATTTGGTAATAAACTCATTTTTAACCCGTGAAAAAGTTTATTTACATTTTAGACCCATATTTTGTTGAGTTTTCCAATTCAGCCCCTCAAAGCCTTATTTTTTTGCAACCTTGGGGCCAAAACTCGTTAGGCCCAATTTTAAGCCCATTAAGCTATGATTTATGTTTTTGACCCTTTGAAAAGTATTATTTTCATAAAAGTCAGCTTCTATACAAATGAACAACGTATAACCCTGATAAAACCGACAAATTATAATTTACATCCAATCTTTGTTATTTTTGCAAAAATGACACTGGTAAGGTTCTTTGGTTTTGTTTTTCACTTTTTAAACTTAAGGACCCTTAGATCTATGATGTATGTTGTTTATTATGTTTTTGTTTATGGTTCTTTCACCCTTTTTGCTATAGATATCAAAATATAACAAATATTACATATTATCACAACCAAAAACTAAAGAAATCACACATGGCATGCAAACACACATAGATCATCACATAATACTTGTATTAATCCCCCAAAAACAAGTAAAAACTGAAAACAAGGGGGTATAAAGTCACCTTGCTTAGTTGTCTCGGTTTAGAAGAAGATGTGAAGAAGATTTTTGGTCCTAGCAATACCTTGATGTGGATCTCGAGTTCTATGGAATATTAGAGTATGGATCATGAAATAAAATGTTTAAGTAGAAGGATCTAGCTTAAAATGAAGTTTATGCATCTAGGAGTTATGGTAACTTACCAAAGATTTGATGATCTAGTGAAAGATCCTCTTGAATGCACCTTAGTTCTTTAAGAATTTGAAGGAGGAAAGGAAAGACTTTTCAGATCAACACATGAACCATGTACATAACATACATGCAAACTATAATAGGTATAGTTTGGGATTTCAATACATAGTTTTACAAATTTAGTTATACATTAAAAAACATATAAACTATGGCAAACTTAGTTTATGATATACATTACTACTTTCAGATTTCAAAAGTACAACATTAAATAATTATTTAAGTATAATTATTATTACTCTACAATGTATACAAACGAATTCAAATAGAAGAACAATACAGAACCACGCGTAAACTAGTTAATACATGATCGTAAGACATCTCTTCAATTATACCCTTCAGGGTACGGAATAAATCATATAATTTAGTGTAACCAAAGTCTCCTAGAGGGAGAGCGTGAGATTTGTGAATAGATCTATTCGGGACTGACAATCCCAAACCTAAACTACTAACTACAGTTAGGCCGGCATGCATGGGGTGACAAATATCATACCTTCCGACGCCTGAAAAATGTCGCAGAGGTCATCAGTCATATCAAGCATGGTTATAAGACTCACAATTGTATAAACTAACCCTTGTTTACGGGATTTCATTC